TGTCCTTTTCAAAAGGTGTTAAAATAAATGTGCTCTTCAACTTTAAACTTGCTGTTAACAGATCTGCAACTTTCCTCCAGTCTAGAATGTGAGCTGAAGCTTTAACTATYAGTTTACTTTCCCAATCACCTCTCTGTATGTTTACTCCCATTCTGTATTTACCTGCCCCAGCTATCACTAAACAAGTCTCTTGCTTATTATTGCTCACCATACTATTAGAACTGCTTATCTTCCTTTTAACTTTTACTTCTCTTTTAGCACCCATGCGTTGCAGCAGTTCACATAAGGCGCCATGAACTGCCTTCCAGCCCTGACTCTTCCTTCCTTCTGGGAAGCAGACCATCTGCTTTCTACCCTTGCCAAAAAGTTCTGTCAAAGAAATAAAATAACCTTTAAGGTTTCTCTTACACGCTACAACAAACCTTCTTCCAGTTTCTGAGAGAAGCTGTTTCCAACTATTTTGTTTGCCTTTGTTACTTGCACCTTCCACAAACTCCTTGAACCCTTCAATTACCCCCAAACCTTCTAACAGCACCATCCCTCTCTTTGCTTCCCCGATTTTCAAGCTCAGCTGACTATTTAATCTCAGTTCCTCAAATAGGAGCTCCTTAGATTCAATCTTCAAAGCTTTTTTCCAACGGCCTACCTCCACAAATTCTCCCATCTTCACAGACTTGCCAGGAGAGTTGCTACATCATCGCAGCACAAAAGACCATTGATCTATGTGGGACACAATCAGAATAACCCATTCCAATTCCAATTCCAGACCCCTATTCCCATGAACCAAACAGGCTCTGACTTCATTTGAATGACCCCATATTCACTAATTAAAATTAGATGCTCATAAGTCTTGCACTCCATGCCCTGATGCTTATGTCCCATGCTTCACGAAAGTGAAATGCCTTGCTCCATGCCTCAGCATCTGAAAATACTGCCACTAGCTAACATTATACACAATTTTAACAGACAAGATTTTTTTTTTTTTTTTCTGATGCCTATCAATGTTGAACTACAAGAAACTTAAACCCCATTGACAGCAGCATTGGATGGATACCCCACCTTTGGAGAAGATTCAGGATAAACTCATCTATAGGTTAAATTGATGAGGGATTGATGCTGCATGGCATAGGCTTCCTATGGAGAATGAATAGGAGACCTCCTTTTTTTGCTTTCTAAGGAATATCATTTCTGTTCTACCACTAAAGCTAGGGGTTTGGGAACTGGAATGCAGAAAATACTGTTCCTATTAAGTCAAGAAATGGAGTCAAATAGGGATCTGGAATGGGTAATAAATACAAATCTTCTGGTTGGTGAAATGTTTGGCCTTCTTTCTTTGGGGTTGAGGGCATTGATCATGTCCCTTTTAGTTAATTGAAGGAAACAAGCAGGAGCTTTGCTTTAAAAAAGAAAGAGAAGGTTATTTTGGAGGCTGTGGAGTTTGATTTTAAAGCTTCAGGTTGGAATTTGATAGATGAAGGGGCAGGGAAGGGGGAGTTACTTTGGGATCTGGAAATCAAGGGGTTGAAGTTTGATGGAGGATTGAATCCTGTCTTTACTCTCCCCTCCCTCACATCCAAGTTTGCCTTGATAAAAGAAAAGTTACAGATGGAAAGGGTGGATATAGGGGGGAGGGGGTACATGGGGTGCAGTCTAGATACAAACACCACTTGAAGTGCAATAATTGGTTTTATCTCTTTGGTCCTTTCGTGGCCTAGTGGTTTAGAGTCCTTTTTCTTAGGCTTCTTGTGTATATCATGTTAAAGCAAGTGTTTATTGTTCCGTATACCTCTTGTAAACCTTTCTTTTCTTTATTAATAAACTTTATTTTGTCCATAAAGGCCCTCTAGTCTAGAACTTTCTGGTTGAGCATTCAATTTTGAATGTATTTGAGGAATGGAATCATTGTAAGAAGAAAACTTATATTCAAGGACAATCCTGTTGCCATCAGGGTTGGGGGGTGTGTATGTGGATGGGCTAGCCCCATTGTCTATCTTCATGAGGCCATCAGGCCATGAGGATGTTATGGAAGAGATGGTAGCTGTTATTAGTTCGACAGTTATTGGTTTGGTGCTCTTGCTTCCAGAGTTTCAAGGACTGCGGAAAAAAAGACTTTGGAGCTGATTTTTGGACTTCTCTGTATTCTTGAAAGGAATGCTGATCTGTTTTGATACTGAAGTGTTGTTTTTTGCTTTTTTGTGGTCTTACACTACTGTAATCTGGTGGGGGTGGCATCTTGTCACCTAGTTATGATGTACTGTTTTTTTCCTTCTAGCAATAAAATTTCTTTCTTTATTTATCTTCAAAAAAAAAAAGAGGCCATCGGGCCATGAACAAAAAAAAATTATATTCAAGGACTTTAATGTAATATCAATGCCATTGGGGTCTTTCTTGCAAAACTTGAATAATTTTAATATTATATACATAAAGAGTCTTTCATATTCAAGACATTGACATGTGGCATTGTTTGATGCCTAGAAAAGAGTTCTAGAGATTTCTTTCCCAAAACCAAGAAAATCAAAGATCATGTTTTTTTGCCTGACTAATGCTTTCTTGTCCAATTCTAATATGACACATGATTTTTTGATACTCGTATAAGTTTCTGGGTCAAACAATTTACGTTTTGCTGAATTCTGTTAAAATTGAATAAGCACCCCTATTTTTGTCTCTCTATTTTGGTGCTAGGGTAGAAACCCTGAGAGATTCTATAAATCTTGGTTGTGGGTTGGGATCCTTCATATTTTAAGCTTTTTGATAATTATAATATATTTTCTGAAGATTACTGCGATTATTGGAGGGATTTGGCAGAAGCTCTAAGCAAAACTTTGGTTACAGCCTTGTTTCAAGTGCTATTAGGAAAATTTCAAACATCCAGTTGTAAGTTGGAGAAACTTCAGATCTGAAAATTAAAAGACAAGGGGAGTGCTATCACACCGCATATGATATTGTTGAAGATCCTTAGTGATGCATGTTTTGTCACAGATATTCATTGAACTGCCTAAGTCTTTGGTTACAGTCTTGTTTCAAGTGCTATTAGGAAAATTTCAAATATCCAGTTGCAAGTTGGAGAAACTTCAGATCTGAAAATTAAAAGACAAGGGGAGTGGTTATCACAACTACATTTGTTTTTGTTGAAGATCCTTGGTGGTGCATGTTGTGTCACAGATGTTCATTGAACTGCCCAAGTCTTTCTAGCATAAGGATTCATTGTGCCTCATCTCATGAATGTTTAATGAAATAGTCAAAGAACTACAAGTTTCGATTTAAGGGTTGTCTTAGTATTGTCTAAGGTCCATTTATTTTTAGTTATTCTTGTGTTTCATTGGGGTACTTGATATATTAATGTTTTCTTTTGTCATTGGAGAATATGCTAAGAGGTAGGCTTAATGACTAGTTTGTGTCTTATGTAAGAGCTATGGGTGTCCTTGCCATGTTGGTCATGTCTTGGGTAAGAGTAGTAAGCTACCATGAGTGCCATCTTAGTAATTGAAAAGTTGTCTTGTCATGGGTAAGAGTTGAAAGATTCTCTGTAAGTGCAAATCAAGCTAATTGGATCCCTATAGGTCTGGTGTAAGAACTAGTTGCCACCATATTGGAATCTTCAAGTTTCCATGTTTGAGAGAAGCTCTGAAAGATCAATTGGTCGTGCTTCTACCAAGGTTACATTGTTTCTTTCAAGGCAAGATGGTTGGTGGTAACTTGAGGGAGAGTGTTGGAGCATTCAGTTTTTAAGGTGTATGAGGAATGGGGTTATTTTAGGAAGAAACGTGTATTCAGGAACTTTAATTTATTTGTCCCATTCTCTTGTATATTTTGAAAATTTTAATATTGTATAAAAAGTCTTTCTCATTAGAGAGAGACATTGATACCTGGTTATCTCTAATATCCTTATTCTCTCTTCTCCTGCATCTTCTCTTCTCCTTTCTTATTATTCATGAATAGACTTTCTATTTCACTTAAATCTAGACCTAATCTTTACACTCAAGTGGAGCTTGTTTAGACCAACACAGAAGATCATGTGTTTGTGGGCTAGTAGGAGATTAAATAAAACAACAAGAAATCTATTATGTCTTATATTATATCTGTCATTGAAGAGTTAAATGAATCTTTCCTTGCTGATGGATTTGGGTAGTTCATGTTCCATCCAACGTTTCCTTTTTTATGTGTGGACAGCAGTGCTTAATCAGATCATGACCACCATGCATCTTGTGATTTCAAGATGTTGGTTTCCTTGTTTTCATGTGGGAATTCATGCATATTTGATTCTTCTGAATTTTTTGGATGTTAGTCATATGTAATTGCATACATAGGTTTCTATGTTTTTTTCATACTTTGTTGTTTTGATAACTGAGGTCATCTTTTCTTCTGAATCAGGGTTATCTGGATATTGGCTTCTCAAGAATTAAGAAGCTGATATCAAAGTTAGAGATGGTAGTTGATTTTCAGAGCATAGTTAAGGGTGTCACCAATTGCAGCTTCTTATACCAGAGAAAAGAAATGATAGGAACTTGGTTATCAATGGTTTACATGGATGTGGACAAATTCTCGTGGCTGCAGTAAGTTTGGTAATTGGTATTGGAATTGCAAATTGTGGAATGAAACGGGACTTAAACAATTTCAAAGTATAAAAAATTGTTTGATTGATGTTATAATTGCTAACACTCAGGTATCTTCTTGATGCATTCTGTGATGGATTGTGGCATCTCAAACTCGGTCATGTAGGAGAATTCACTATACATGCACATGAAAAAGAAATAGAAAATGCTGTGAAATATGTAAGTGATATGATTAACTAATAATAGACTAATTTTTAACCTTGTTTTATTTAATAGTTGTCAATTTTCTTTATGTGCATGATTAGATTTTTTGTTACCTTATCATAGGTTAACTGTGTCTCATTTTCTAAAGTACAGGAGATCATTGCACCTCTATGTAGAGATATTGAGACTGATCTACGTCTTCATGTACACTCCACCCACTTAAAAGGATCTGTGCATGTAAACCCGAGAAAGGTAGTAACTATTTCTGTTTTGAGACTTGTCCCTCTAGTTGGTGTTTTATCTCTTTGCATTCCCTCCATTTGTAATTTTTTGGTATTTATTTCTGGATTTTGCATCAGACTGGCGTACAAAATCTCTCTTGGTACCTGCAGCTGAAACCTTTGCGAATTCCCTTTAAGAATATTGATATAAAATTGCATGTAGAAACCTATCTAAATTCCACCTTTTACAATCACACAGCCATGTCATCTTATGATCGGAAGGTAATGTTTCTCTCCTGAAGTATCCTTTGTGCTGAAATGGATGACTTTTGAAATGATTGGTCGTGCATTGGAATGTTTTTTCACCTGAGCTATACATCTTTCTGATTCTAACATGTATCATTCAGATATACTTGGAAATGAGGCAGTTAGCGAAGCTGAAATATAGGCTAGTATTAGATGATATTCATTTTGCTGACCATTGCCTGGGACATGGTATTGAGGTGATTGAAACACTGCAAAATCTCCAGAAGGTTGCCACAAGCTACTCATATAACATAACTAACCAGGTATAAAGTTATAAATAAAGAGTTTTCTGATGTTAAACTGTATTTGCATTTGATATCAAAGATATGTAAAGTAACAGTTAATATATTTTGGTTGATGACAGCATTTCTTAATTTCCCATTTTACTTAGAAAGTTTGACTATGTTATCAGGATGAGCATTTAATATCTTACTTAATCTGACCTTTCATGATGCATGAGAATTTACTTTGGAAAATCCCTATGTTATGGGGAAATTGTTACAGGTCCTTATTGAGAAAGCTTCTGGCTTCCAAGGTCGTACAACCTTGAGAATTGTTGGTGTGGAACAAGTTGCCTCTTCATTAGCTACTCATGGGCTTGTGTCAATATTTACTGCTATAGAATCTGTGCCCAAATTTCTAGCTCAGAAGCTTGTGGATTTATCTGAGCTTCTTCAAGATAATTTTGCCAGTTCCTTTTTAGTAAAAGAATTCAGATTCTGGAAGGTATGCCCTTTTCTGATTTTTTTTTTTGTCTAGATTATTATTTAGTTGATATAAGGAAGAAAAGGTGTTAGTATAAATTTAACACAAAAATTCGATGTTTTGAATGAGGTAGATACTGATAATATTTGTTGTTACTGATTGGGGAAGAAAGGTTATATATGTGCTTCATTTTGAGAGTTGAAGTGTTCAGTAGTGTGGCAGCTGTGTTGTATGGAGCTGAATGTTGGGCAGTCAAGAGACAACATGTCAAAAAATAATTAGTGGCAGAGTTGCATATGATGAGATGGATGAGTGGTACCGTTAAACTAGAAAGGACAAGCTCAGAAATAAAGTCATTCGAAAGAACATAGGAGTAGCTCCAATAGGTGATAAAATGAGAGAAAGTAGACTAAGATTTTGGTCACGTTCATAGAAGACCACTGACTGTAAGAAGTGATCTGTTGGAAGTTCAAGGAGCTAGAAGGGCTAGGGAGTAGGGATAAACCAAAAAGGACATGGGTCAAAGTAGTTAGAATGAATTGCAAAATAGTATTCATGTTGCAACCCCATATAGTTGGGATAAGGCTTTTATGATGATATGCGGAAGGCTTTCTTATGCATAGTAAGTGTGTCGCATCTAACTGAAAGGTTGTAGTCTCAAAAATTTGATTATACTTTATTTAGCTTACTTAGCAGCTCCATCTATAGCGCAACATCCCTATGGATGACTCGTTTAATTAGGCTTCATGTGTTACATTAATTTTAAATAAAGCCAAAGGGTTAACAAAGGGTTTTATTTGTGAGTTCCCGAGGTTGAGGTTGGAGATTAGCCTGTAATACTTAATCATGGAACAAAGCTATCTAGAGAGTGGCTTCTTGTGATACATATTATGGAGGCAATTAGGCAAATGAGTTGATGGATTTCTTTTGTTAAAGTTAAGAACCTAATAACAAATAACTTCTATCATTCAAATGAGAATAACATTGAATTAAGTGGTTAACAAGTTTATTCCCCTTGGACAATTGTCTACTATATTCATTCCTTAGTGTATCAGAGCACTATATTAGTGGAAACAGACAGAAGCACCAAGTCCAGTAAATTTATTTTAATTTTGTGTCAGAATCTTAGATATCTCATTTTTGCAAAGGTGGCTGCTTCTTACCTGTCTCCTCATCTTATTAAATCTAATATAATTCTTACTACAATGATTCTGATAGGCCCCCAATTAACCTTACGTATGCTAGGAAGAGGAAAGGGCAGCAATCGGTTAAGGGGGGGAAATAATTGAACACATGGGACTTACCAGCTGGGCATTTATAGAGGAAGTCAGAAGGGAATAAGAAGAGTCTTGGGGCATTTATAGCTATGTCAGTTATGAATAAGAAGAGTGTTGGGAATTTATAATTAGGCCAGCTGGGCATTTATGGGGGGGAGTCAGTTATGCTCTCAGAAGAGTATAAGAAGGGTCTTTGGGGGATGGGGAGAGGCATGTTTTTCTTGAGTGAAGAATACTGTTAGTGATTGGGAGAGCCGGTGGTCTCTCGAAGAACCGACCAACTGTTAATGTTTTGTTTTCTTCTGAATGAATACCAGTTCCTTTTGTTGATGTTCGAGTTGTGTGAATTCTGCTGAGTCTGAGAATTGTGTGTGAAGTTTCTGGGACATAACAGATTCTTTGTGCCTTCTGTATTATGTTCCATTATTGTCTTCTGAAACCTCGTGTTAATATAATACTGCACTACTGCCCCTTTGGTGCATCACAGAGTGATGATTATGTAGATACATTTTTCTAATGAGTTTTTTCCTATATGATTTTGTGAATGTATTTATTCCATTGGACAAATCTTTAGAAAGGCCTACATTATGCTTAATTATTTTTTTTCCTGTTGAAGCATGAAGAAGGATCAATAAGAAATAATCCTTTCATACAAGGAGATCAACATAACCTGACCATGGGAAAATTATTCTTTGAGGATCATGAGCTAAGATACTTAGAGCAGCTAAGGTACATCATCTCTGAAATGGGTAATGTATTAGGGCTATTGAGGATCTTGAAAGCAGGATGTTCCCGCCATGTCTGCAACATTTCTCGGTAAGTGTAGAGGAAAATATCTAGTTAACTGACAGTCATATACAATTATTTATTTGTACTATGTTTCTTCCATTCAGGTTTATACATGGATCCAACAATAGTAAGAGCTTCAGAGAAATCTCTGAGAAACTTGGTTTTATGGATGAAACTGTTACAGCTGGAAGGATAGTAGATGTAACATTAGAGAGCAAATACAGAATCAAAGATCATTTGAATTGTTTCTCCTCTCTTTTTACAGTGTTCTCAAAGGTAAATATGCATTTTCATTGTGTTTCTACTCCAATATTGGTTTCTCAATTTCTTTTGTCTCCTTTACATCCAGCATGCTGTTTTGTTCTCCTTGCCAATCAGTAGACTTTCTGCATTTTGATTTACATCACTGATGTTCTTAGCCTGCAAATAACTCTTATGATCTAATCAATTTATTTCATAGTTACATTATGATGATGGATATTTGATATGTACAGCTATTCTGATTTCTTGGCTAATTGATGCCATTGATTCATTAATTAGGAGAGGAATTTCATAGAATTTGATGGATTCAACCTAAAGCCCTTAAATGTCCAAATCCTTCATTGGGAGAGAAATATATCCAAATCCTTTGTTAAATGTACAACTTGAGAAAGAATAACATACATATTTGGTCTTACCATCTGACATTCATTGATGATAATGAGGATTCTGTATGGATGTCATATGTTGAGGTTCAAGGCAGTTAAATATTTCCTCGAACCATTGTGATAAATGCTTCCTTGAACCCAAGTTTAGCCTTCACATTTATTCTTCTCCCTCTTCATCTCATTTTTTACATAGATAAAAGAAAGTAACCTGGATGGCTGTCATTATTTCCAAATTAATGATTGTCATTATTTTGATTATTTAGTAAGTGTAATCAAGAAAAATGAATGCTGAGATGGTTGAGTGGAAAAACTAGAAAAGAAAGAATAAGTCATTTGAAGGAACCCAGGAGTAACTCCAATAGGTGATAAAATGAGAGAAAGTAGAGTAAAATGGTTTCATCATGTGCATAGAAGAGCATTTACAGCACTTGTAAGAAGAAGCAATTTGTTGCAAATTAAAGGGGCTAGAAGGGCTAGGGATAGACCAAAAAGGGCATGGTTGAAGTCATAACAAATGATTTAAGCTCTAATTATTAAAAAATGAATATGACAGTTAACAGAATAACAAAATGGGATTCATGTAGCTGGTCACCTGTTCCGTCATTCCCTTCTGTTTAAAGCCATATCCATTGTTAAAGTATTGGTGCTTAAATCATTTATTACTTCTAGTTGATGTTGCCTATCAAAAGAAAGAAAAAATCTTACTACTACCAATGTTCTTTTTGGTCCACCCTTAGCCCTTCTAGCCCCTTCAACTTGCAACAAATCACTTATGATGATTATTTTGGTTATTGAATAAAGTGAAACCAAATGTAAAAAACATTTCTTATAGTTTTGAAGCACTTGTAAAAGTAGGTATGAGTTATTCTAAAAAACATTATTTGCATCTCTTTTACACTACTTATTGATCCATACTTCTGATCACTTGCAGGTTATCCTTGCTTAGTAGATCAAATTTACTCTGATTTCTTTTTTTTTTTACATGCAGGAAATCCAAAGCAGTAAGAATATCCCTTTTAAGGATTTTCACCTTATAGTTCCAGCCCTTGTAATCAGCTTAGTAGATTCTAGAGCTAACTGCAAGGATAAACTTTTGAGGAGGAGTCGTGATAGAGGAAACCAGATAGTTATGGATGATGGCTTCATTATGGGAGTAGCTTTTCTTTTGAAGGTATGTTTATGCCTGAACATGTTAATGCTAACTACTTCCCAACTGGTTTATTCTTCACTTTTCTTTCACAAGCAATTTACTATTTCATGCTCCATTGTTGGAATTGTGTGAGGACTTCTGGTGGGTGTCGAATCCAACCAAAGATAAAAGTCCTGCTTGAATTAAATATTTTTGTAGATAGTGATGAGCAAGGTCGTCTCCACAGGGATTGGGTGGATTTATTTCCAAGAGAAAAGRAAATAGRGGGGYTGTTATAAAAGCAAGGAAAATAAAATAAAATAAAATAAAGCAAGGATTAAATCGATGGGAGATAGCTTCTGGTTGAAGGGACAAGTTCAGCCTTGATTCTTATCATTGATCATCGATGCAAGGATAAATTCATATGTTTATGAATAAATTGGTTATAGCCATTAACAAGCTCGAACAACCAGCCTCTACTCGTATTTCTTGGCAACCAAAACAAGATCTTTGATTGCTTCTCTTATTAATAGACAGTCCTAAACAAGCTCTTAGAAGTTTATTTATTAATAGCATTAAGAGGGGAGAGACCCAATTCTGGTCAGCGATCTCACAAGCTCGGACCGTTTAAACTAGATCATATATCCTCCTAACATAAATCAAAAACTTGTCCATAATCAATTTATGTTAGTTGCCACCATGATTAAACCTACCAATCATATACGARATTGGAGGTTCAATCGGCCATAGATTATTCTCATTGAATGAGCAAGGGATCCTTCTTGCTTAATCAATAAAAATAATCCTCACAAGAAATCGCAGAAAACATATGAATACCCATAAACAATGAACTGAAATAAAAATCAATTAGATCTCACAATGTTTAAGAATCAAAGCTTCCCTAACCTTTCAACCATAAATCAAAAGCTTACACACACTTCATGTAGAAATCGCAGCTTCCAGATGAGGGGGGCGTATTCTGCTTCTTTTCTCCCTTTTTGCTGAATTCTTGTTTCCAAGATTTTTTTATGATCCTTGGGTGCTAGTCCGCCCCCCTTTATGTAGCCTTAGGAGGGAGCAGTTTTCAGCTCCTCTTAGGAGTTCTTTTTCTCAAAAATAGAATGTCCTATTTCCTAATTCAGATCTAATCTTATCCTTATCTCTAAATAGAAACTCTTAACTAAGTTGGACTCTAACTCTTTTCTTTCTTTAAGATTACAATAAAAATAAGATCTGATTAAGACTCAGCCGAATTCTATTAGGAATGATGAGTGGGCCCTACTACTGCATGCTGAATTGGGCTGGTCTTCTCCAGCGAAATGGGGCTTCTCTGCAAATTGAGCTTTGCTGCAATCTGGGGCTCTCTGCGAATTGGGCTTCTCTGCGATTTGGGGCTCTCTGCGAATTTTCAGAGACTTCAGGCCCGATTTTGACCTCGATGCAGTCTGAATCTATCAAAACTCAAAACATGAAAGTTGAAGAGCTTTTCTTTATCTTTCCAATGCATCTTGAATCATCTCAATCAGAGTCCGGATGGGAGAGTTATGCCCAAATTACCACGCGGTGCCGAAACTGTGCAAAATTACCCGATTAGCCTTGTTTTTCACCTAACGCCTCATTTCATGCCCTAAATCGAAATATAAGAATAGTGAGTCCAATTATGCACTAAATAAGTATAAAAGACTGAATATTAAGGGATAAAGATATGATGATTTTCATTCTCATCAACTTCCCTTTCTAGTAACTTGGTTTGGCTTTTGAAATGGGTGCTATTATTGACTCATCTCTGTAATTTTTTATTTTGATAAGCTGGCAAAAAAGTATTGTATTAATAATATGAGCATGAAAGGGGAGGGTGAGGCACCCTCTGCTATACAACTGAAACAAGAACCACTCAAAAAGTATCACTACAACATTTACGGTGATATAGCTCAAAATAATTGATCTCCAATCATTTGTGAAATCAGCCACTGTAATTCCAAAAAACTGGCGCAGAACTTTTCAAGGTTTTCTATGTTTATCTTTCTATTTTTGAACTTTCAACTCAAATTTTTATGGTTCAAAATCCCAGTTTATGATTGAAGTTTGCGGGGAATAATATATTATATTTTTACTGTTGGGTCCTGTTTAGAAGTCCCACGCATTGGGCAGGTGAATTCTGTTTTCCTGTGTGCCTACCACATTTCTGATAGCAGGTATTTAGATAGTATTCACCTCCAGCAGAGGGCCACTAGGCAGCACTTGTAGAAATTTGGTGGTGATTATTTATTTTATTATTACTTCCTTTTCAGTAATATCACTCTGATGCATTTTTTGTACCATCTCAAATTCGGCACATGTCTGAATGACTTTTGAGACTGGGAAATACTTCAGAATAAATTGAAGTTGACTTTATTTAATATGCAGCATATTACAAAATGTATTTCTTTTGTAGCCTAGGGGACAGAGAGTAGCCTTGCAATCAAGGTTCTAAATATCAATACCAAGGTTTTAAAAACCGACCCGGAAACGGAACCGTTCTGGCCACTGGTTCGACCATCTGGGTCAAACGGTTCGGACGGTTTGAGTATTTTAACAGTGATATGTCATCTTACCCATTAGATTGGAATATTAGGGTAAGATGCATATAAATATAAAGAGAAAATAAAGATGGAATGAGAGGTATTTGAGAAGTTGTCGGCTGAAAGAGTTTAGAAGAAGAAGAAGAAGAAGAAGAAGACGAAGAAAAAGGAAGAGGAGGGCTTGAAGGCTGCAGCGGCAACGGCAGCGGTGACTTACAGCTGCGACAGCGATGGCGGCGGCTATGGCGGCAATAGATCTGAGATTTCTCTGTTCAGATCTCTCTCTCTTTCCTTCTCTCTCTCTCTCTCTCAGATCTGTCATCTAGAGTCTAAAGACTCTAAACTTCTCTCCCAGATCTCTAAATGTGAGATCTCTCTCACTGTCTCACACATCTCTCTCGGTAGATCTTCTTCCCTTTTCATTTTGCTGTTACAAGTTAATAAACCACAAACCGTTCTTCGGGTCAAATGGTTCATCGGTCAAACCGTCCGGGTCAACGGTTCGTTGACTAATTCAATGGTTTTTTACCAGAGACTGGGTTTGGGGTAAAATGGAACCAGTCGCCTGAACGGTTTCCGGTTTGAATGGTCCGACCGTCCGGGTCAACGATGGTTCGAAAACATTGATCAATACAGACCGATCCAGTGTATTGGTCCGTATCAGTAGGCACTTTACCTTATTTTATTTATTTATTTTTTCAAACCTTTGCAGGGGGTGGGGTTGGTATAAGGCTTGTCTACCCCCTGAAACAGGTCAAATCCCAAAACAGTTTTTGTAGGAGCATATCGGAGGGTCACTGATACGATACATATCGGTCAATACATTCCAATACATTGTGACATTTTTTTTAGAAAAAAATACGTTGTGGATTTTAATTCTTGATTGCAATTAAAAATTTCAGTGTGAAATAATATAATTGATATCATAATCATGATGATCTGGTAATTTCTTTGGTCAGATGAGGCAATAAGATCCCAGTTTATTGGCAAAAATTTCTTGGGGCAGCAAAATGGAGGAAAACCAATTTAAACAGCTGAATATTATCTTTTTCCCATGATATTGCCTGTATAATTCATTCAAGCACAAAGTTGCCATTATGGTTTCTAGTACTAGGTTGCTTATACCAAGGGGCTAGAACTTAAGTTTAGTCGAAACTTGTATGGCCAGTCACTCTGCACACAAGGACGAATGATGCCACCTTTTGTATTATGGAACCTACAAAAGCAGTCTGCCATTTAATGCTTTACCTTGCGCAATTCCATCATGGTGTTAACATAATGCTCCTTGACATGTTTGTGGTTATCCTAGGTTTAACTTTTTCTGCAATTCATCAAGTTAGATGCTTGCTTATAGAATAATACTAATCCTAAAATCTCAAAATGATAATTACTGCAGGTAACAATGCAAGAGAAATCATTTGATCAAATGTATTGGTTTACTGGTATGCATAAATACTTGAAGGAGGCTTTGCTATCACTGGAGGAATATCAGGATGCAGAACAGAGAAAGGCAAGCAGAGGAATTTCTGTTTCAAGGTTGTTGGGTCAGCCTGCTTCATCCATAGGAATAGAAGCCCAAAAGGTTCCAAGATCCCATCACCTCTTGCTTAACCTCTCAGTTGAACTTATTTTGTTCTGACTTCTACTCCTTTACGATCCAATTTTTCTGATTACTACCTTTTGTCTTGGTCAGCAGGGCATTGATAAACTCAAGAAATATCAAAAAGAGGTGGAGTTTATTCACTCTAGTTTCAATATTGCAAGGACAGCCATATCTTGAAATGCTGCAAATGTTATATTCTCGTTCAGTTTCGTATATCATTCATAATTTAGTGTACTGATAGTTGATGAAGTCTCCCAATCTAAAAATCCCATCCCTTGCACCAAGTAGACTAGTTGTCAACGGAAAGTCTCCATCAAATGTAATGTAATCCATCTTTACTTTATTTTATTTTTTTTTAGAAAAGGAATTGCATCCTACGACTACAGTTTACTTTAACAATTTGTTAATTGTTATTTTCTGTTTCATTACGTACAATTCTTGAGTGTCGTTGGATCTCTTAATCCAGTACACCATAGTCGTTATATTCATGTGATAATTGATTGAAAGGCCCACTTGTCAATATGCTAAATAACAATTTAAGGAATTTCAAAGATTTCACTAAATTTAAATAATCTTTGCTATATAATACTTGCTTTGGCTTCACGTCCAAGCCATAAAAGTTAAATCAAAATGTTTTAATAGTTTGTTATTACAAATTACACATTACGACATCACAAGGGGATTAAGGGGTTGTGGACAGACCAGGGCACACATGAGATCAATTTAGGGTCTTTTCGTTTCCTCTTAACTCTTATCTCTTAAAGTGTAATCATACAACTTTTTGTTTTCCAATGATACTCCCAAAAAATAAACAAAAACTCTTTTATATGGGGTCAAAATGAATATTTGATAATTTTCAAAATTTAGAATTCAGAACAATATTCTTTACATTCAAAGTTTGGAGGAAATAAAAATTCACCAATACCAATATACCTCTTAATGTAATTATTGCACTTTTAGATGCCAAGTTTCAAAACAAATGAATAGGCCCATTATCATTGCAGTTAGGAGGTGCTGATCCCGTGAGATCGGAGGGATGTGAGTGACCAATTCAGTTGCTGCCAATGTTTGTGAGCAGTGGTTGGTCAAATATTTAAGGGTGTTAATTTATAATGTATCAAACTATAGCAAAAAGTTTCACACATGCACAAAGTAGTGATAAAATTATTTAGAACCTTAATCTAATGATATTTTCATTAAGCAGTCAGTTTTAGACAAGGTTCAAAATATCGATATGCCCGATACGCCAGTAAAAGCATATCGATATTTATTTTTATTTTTTTAAAAACTGGTTTGGGGGGGCCGATTTAAAGCTCTTCCACCCCTTGAATCAGTTAGAACCAAGGTTCAAAATATCGATGTGCCCGATACGCCAGTAGGGGCGTATTAGGTGAATTGATATTGTTTTTTGTTGTTTTTTTTTTTATTTTTTTTCATAACCAGTTCAGGGAGCCGGTTTAGGGCTCCTCCACCCTCTAAACCGGTCAAACCCCCGATACACCCACTGTAAGGGTGTATCGGAGGGGTTTCGGAACAATACGTATCGATACTTTGAACCTTGGTCAGAACCTGTATCAATGAGCTCCTGAAACAATACGTATCAACCGATATAGGCTGATATGTGTTAATACTTTGAACCTTGTTTTTAGGTATGCTTGATGGTAAGGTGCACCCATATCATGGAATGGGTTAATTACCTGCAAAGTTTTTCTTCATGTGAATGGGGTTTTCTCGATAACTTCATGGAGGTGGGACCGTGGGAGTAGGACAATTAATACGTCCATCACTTGGGTGAAGAATCTGTTGTTTCCTACTATATTGATAGGGACTCTCTTCTGAAGTCTTTCAGAAAAAGAATAGGTTATATTGGCTGAGCATCGTTCCCCTTTCAGTCACGGATGGTAAAATGCTTCTACAAAGAAAATCATTTAGAAATCTATTAATAAAAACAAAAAATCCTTTTAAGATTTTGACTTGTTTGGGAAGTTGTCTGAGTCTGAGTATATAAAAGAAGAGCAACCCAAGATGAATGATGGTGGTGATGATAATTTGCCCTACGCATAATCCTAACTCAAAAGGGTTTTAGGGTGCAACGCCAATCTCCCTCCCCACACCCCCGGCGGTAAACAATCCAACTCAAAAGAAAGAGCGGAATTCTTATCATGGTCTACAAATACCGGGCTACGCTTTAAACCCTTTCATTTCTATTTCCACAAAACCTCTATAGACGTTCTTTTCTGTGATCAATGGTGGACAAGGCCCTATTGGTTTTCAATTTTACCATATTCAGTTGACAGTTCTCCTAACTTTCTGATGAATGAGAAAACATCATCGTCCAAAATAATAAGGGATATATTGACTGTGTTGTACACGAATTACACGCAAAAATGCAGAACCATGGTTTTTAAACCGCTGTTGACCCGAATCATCAGACCATTTGACCCAGGAACCATCCGGGAAACTGGTTCCGTTTTATGCCAAACCCAGTCCCTGCCCAAAAAACCGTTGAATCGGTCAACAATCTATTGACCCAGGCAGTTGAACCATTGACCTTTTCAATGGTTTTGGCCATTTTTTATTTTGATTATTTTTTAAATTTTATTTTGTCAAAAACAGGCCGTCCGTTCAAACTAGATGGTCGAACCATAAACTCGAAAACCAGTGGCCAGAACGGTTCCGGTTCCGGGTCGTTTTTTAAAACATTGTGCATAACCATGCAAGTCTTGTACCCCTCTGTTTTTGACGTAATGATACAATACTTAAATGCTCATTTAAAAAGAGAATTGGTTTTAAGAGGCAAAAATCCTGTGTGAAAGTGTCCTTGGGCTAAAAACAATAGAATTACTCCACGGACTTTCAAACAAGTGATAAGGGAAGGGAAAAAGATCGCAAGGGAGGTAGAGGCTGAATTTAAATGGGTTAGAAGGAGTACAAATGGGCTAGCTGATTATCTTGCTAAACAAGGGGCTTTGAGACACCAACTGTTTTGGGCTGCAATGTAAAGAGGGACAGAAATATGTAGTAGTGTGCGAGCTCTAACCCCATACACAAAGTTGTAACACTTCTTAACTCTAATTTCAAATAAAATTCTTCTTTGCTGATCAAAAAAAAAAAAAAAAAGAATTGTCCTTGCTTGAGCCCCATGTTGCACAACTAGTGGAATGCTCTGTTTTTTTCTGATGGATAAAAAACAGGTAATCCAAACCCTTAACATAGCCTGAAATAAAACATGTGAACAACCTTCTCTTCTTTCCTTTCTACATCACCGATCCTAGTAATCTCAGTTTCAATTTCCTGTTCCCATTTGGACTTCAAAATACGAGTTATCGATCTAAAACAGATCAGTTTCCGTTCACAACAAGTTATAAATGAGGCCATTTCAATACTTTGGAAAGACAAACTCAATTTCTAACATGGCACTTAAACATGCAACAAAAATTGCTTGTTTGCAAGTCATTAAACTCCCACTATCCATCACTAACCATGCAAATTCTGGAGCTTCAAATTTTCACAAGCAAGCAACTTGCTATCGTTTTTACATGATCAAAATAAAGATCCCAAAAAGCATCCCTACCAAGAAAACAAAGGAAAACAAACCATTTTGATACAAATAATTTCAGAGAACCATACAATGCACTGAAAATTAGTAGTTTTATGCTGGTCTTCATCTACAACTTTTTGGAGTTTTGTTAATTTTATCTGATTTATTTGTCTTGGTAATTTATGCGGTTTAGGATTGCTAATATTGTCCCCTAAATAACCTCAATTTTGTGGTGGGTTTCATCAACTCTCTTGAAGATTTATGAGCTTGCTACCCTATATTACAAGGATTCCCAAGCATGAGTCTAAAAGCAGGGAGCATGGGAATTGCATCTCGTCAAATAAGCCATCCAACCCATCACCACTAAATGCAATAGCTGTGCTATCCGAGTCCGGATCTGCTCCTCACACCAACCTCACAGCATGTACCAGCTGCACATTGGGAACATCTCCCGTATTTGTATGTTATTATTCATGGGAGATGTTCCCAATACACAGTGGGATGTGGCTGTGAGGTCGGTGGGAGGAGCAAATCCCAATTCATGCTATCCTCCACCTGAAACATGCAGCATTTGCTGCACATCCATGGGGTAACAGCTGACTAATTAATTTAACTTCTTCTCTCCACAAACATTCTGGTTTCTCAAGTCCTATGCTAGACAATAGTGGTGTCAACTTACTCAACCAATCATCAACACCTTCAGTGATAGAAATTGAAAGAAGCACCTTCTAAGAGAATTAATGGAATATTATCATGAAAAAAGCATTTTGAGGCGGATAGTGTTCAAGTAAATTCTTTTTTGGGTACAGGGAACTATCCCAAAGTTTCTCCAAGGAAATAACCAATGTGAAGAGTAGCTTACCTCTTTTAGCCTATTTTTTTATATTCCAGAAGCCAACCTGCAGCCTGTTAAATCATGGGCTTCAGATGTCAAATGTAACAACAGCAATCAGACAAAACACATAATTAGAATCCTTAAACACTACAAAGAAGGATGGATTCAAAAAAATTGAGGAGCAATAGAGATCCCAAAGTCCATCCACGAACAGAAAAAAAAGGCACTTCCCTCAGAAAGAAAACTCAACAGTAATCTATCAACTACAAATTCCTGAAAGGATACTGGTATACCACTAAACTCACAGAGTTGGCTTCCCTTTATTGCTGCATGGTCAAACCTTTTAAATTTAGGGAATAAAATCAGGTAGTCAAACCGAGTTTGGAACTCATCATCAAGAGAAAATTAAAGAATAAAACAGATGTAAAATGGAAAAAAAATGCCACATGGATGTTGATGTAGGAGTTGGAGTTTGATACATTTTGGGAGTCTCAAGTCATGTAAAGGAGGAAATTCTAGGGAATAAGATTCATCAAGATAGATAAAAGATCTAGGGCCTTTTCTTCTCTCATGTTAGCATCAACCTTTCCTGAGAAGCGCATGACTTCCTTTGGAGTTACCGAGTTAGCATTAGTGCCCTTTCAGCAATGGGGACACAATTATGTTGGGTTTCCTATTACATGCAGTTATTTGAGTAAAAAAATAAAGAAAATAAGATTACAAAACCAAAACCACCCTAAAGAGGTCGTCAGAGATGTAACCTCTGTGAGTGATTTATTGATTTGAGGGTTGAAGGTCTTCAGGGGAGCTTTGGTGATTCTATGATTAGAGAATGACATTTTATTGCTCACTTCCATCCTTCCATCCTTTTAGGACTGATAGCTAGATGGTCACCTTAATCAGTCTGTCACTAAACTCAATCTGACCTACTACTCTTCAGAGAATCAGGGGCCTTCTGGTATTAAGGACATCTTCAATGATGATAAAGGGGAAGTGATTCTTGCTTACTTAGGACCTTAGGGTTCTGGTGATTATCTGAGAGAAGGGCTTCTCTCTATTCCAAGGCCTAAATTTATAGTTTTCCACTCTCAGGATATTATCAGATGGGTGACAGATGCTTTCAGTGTTCCATGGAGACTTGGCCACCAATTCATGGAGAAAGATCCTTGGTATCTTGGATCAACTACTTCTTTGATGGTGTTTTGAGATTAGATAAATTTGACTGCTGGTTGCCTTCCTAGAGAGGCTGAGAGGGCATTCCACTTTGCCAGATGAGATGCCAGAGGATGTATTTTTTGTAAGGAATGCCTAACCTATTTTGAATGGTATGATTAGATATCTACTCACACCATGATTTTTTAGACGTGTTCATGTCAGGGGTGTCTGTCTTCTCACATTAGGAAAATACCCAACTCAGCTTAGCCTTATCCCAGTATTTGGTGGATGCAGAAAAAGATAACATTCATAAATTGTGGTTGCATTAATGTCAAACAAATATGAGAAACGAGCAATCTCCATCAACATGATCAATATAACTAAACATATGGAAAATGAAACTACCTGAAGATCCAACAAAAGAAGATCACATGATTGCCAAGTGAACACATTCTTAGAATTGTCAGCAAAGTCAGACAGGAGATTCCAAGTAAGAAAGATGGCAAGTATATGGAGAAATAGTTTCAGCAGCAAATAACTGGTTTTGCAAACACAGATGGAGCAAATATCATGTGCATTAAATCATCACAAATAACAAAACTTGAAAATTTTCAATTAGCCCACCACACATAAATATAAACAAAAGGGGGGGGGGGGACCATGGTGTTTGAAAAGAGCAAAACATCCCCAAACTACCTGAATTAACAGCTACTCTTATCTGTAGGTTCATCTGCAGAAAAAGAATTGTAAAAAATCTAATAAAGAAAAGAAATATATTCATATCTACAGAGTTACCAGAACAAACTCTAATACCTAAGAGAGAAATAAAAGATTAATAGCAGACCTAGGAGGAAATGTGGTAAGAAAAGAACAGATGAACCTTGACAAGGAAAATTTACAATATAAGTTTATCAGCCCATAAAAATATATAACCTTGTAAAAGGTAGCCTTTAACAATAAAGATTAGGTAAAAGTGTTCAAGACATTATTTTGCTGGGTAAGAAGGATGTCACGAGAAAAGGTGGAGAGTTAACACTCAACCTTACGGGAACTGTATAATGGTGGTTATGTTGTACCTAAAAAGAAAATGGATGGAGTGATTTTAAAATTTGCAGAAGGGAAATGTAATGTTTTGAAAAATATGTGATTTTAAATTTGCAGAAGGGAAAAAAGGGGGGTTATTTTATAAAGAGGTTTAAAGATTGTTCATACTATAAATCCAGAATCAATCAACTACAACATTGCAAAAGTATGGGGTAGAACAACAGGTCCTGGAAACATAGCAAAAGGCTGGGGTAGAACAACAGGCCCCCGCAACATTGGGGCCGTATGGGACTGAGCAAGTGGTCCCTGCAACATTGGTGTGGCAGTATGGGATTGAGCAATAGGTCCTTGCAACATTGGAGCAGTATGTGATTGATCAGGAGGTCCCTGCAACATTGAAAAAAATAATTAATTTATGTAGGTGAGAGAAAAATATGGTGGCCACCATTAATTATCTTAATATCGTGCATTTAAAATGAGATAAAGATCAGGAAGATCCTACTTTTGATACACTGTTCAAAGCCCAAATTAATGAGGGTTTGTCTTTCCAGAAGAGATTTGCCTCGTTTATCAACAATTGGACATGCACAAATCAGTGCCCTTGAAACAACATTGTAAAAAATTCTTTAACTTACCTTAGAACATAAATGTGTATGATGCTTTGTTTCCCCACATGTACGACACTTCCTTTTCTTCTTTTGTCCATGTTCAGTGCCTGATTTATCTTTAGAAGATGCAACACTACCTGTTGCTTTGACTGGTGAAGGATCACACATGGTGGTAGACAACCTGATAGTGTCATGTTGTTCATTGGCATTTTCCCCTTGAAAACTACTACTACAACCCACGGCACTTATAGGTATATTGATGTGAGAAAGTCTTTCCATGCCCTCTTGTAAAATACTGATAGCAGCCTTAGTCCGTTCGGTGCAAGTAGCCCCAATTTCAACAAATTTTTTAGCTGTCTCTTTCAAGGTCCAGACATTTACTGTTGTTGGAATTTTTGATCCACCCCCAACTTCATCATTAAATGAGACATACCTAGCACTCATTGTCCATCGCTTTAAGATGTATTGTGGTGGAATCTTGAATACATTTACCATTTGAAATACTTTAAGTATGTGCCTGCAAAGCATCCCCTCTGACTCAAACATCTGACAACTGCAGCTTGTACTATTATCAACTGAGTTGAATGTAACAAATTTCATCTTGTCATCCTTCTCATTGTACTTGCCCACCATGTAGTTACTTATTGACCCTTTCTCATCTATCTTATTTGCAACACAACAAGAACTTTCAAGAAATTCATCCCCAAACACTGAGAATATACTCCTAGTATAAACTTTCGCAGCATGTTCTTCAATAGGATTTTTAGACTTTAAAATCGCTTTTGCATGCATTGAAACAAAATCTTCATCATCTTCCCTCTCACGAAGTCGATTTAGTGCCTGTTCATACTGTGGAATAAATTCATTGAAAGGAGTTCCCTCATGCAAGAACCCGTCAAAGTAAGAATGAATGCTGTCATTTCTCCTTGTTGTAGTCAAGCCGGCAAAAAATGCACCTTGTAAGTACAATGGTACCCAATGATGCCGCTGTTCATACATTACCTTCAACCAACTATTTTCCTTTAAATTGTACTTCATCAGGAGTGCCTCCCAACCTGACTCAAATTCTTCAGATGTCTGACTCATCTCAATGCACTTTTTATAATCTGTTTGAAATTCCTTGTGCATTCTGAACACATATGTCAGATTTTCCAGCTCACTTTTGGCCACTTGCCACATGCAAAATCGGTGTCTTGCTTGTGGAAAAACCTTCTCTATTGCAGTTGTCATCGCTTTGTCCTGATATGTTATTATAGAGGCAGGCTGGCAACCAGACATGGCTCTAAGCCAGGTTTCAAATAACCAAATATAAGATTCCACACTTTCATCTGCCAACAAACCACAACCAAACAATGTAGAATGCTTGTGGTGGTTCACACCAATGAAAGGGGCAAAAGGGAACTTGTATTTGTCTGTTTGGTATGTAGTATCAAATATTACTACATCCCCAAATTGCTTGTATGCCTCCCTTGCCCTGCTGTCCGCCCAAAATATATTCTTCATGCCTACAATTTTACCATCTTCAATTGCATAAATAAACCCAGGATCTGCTGCCTGCATGCTCTGGAAGTACTCAAGAGCACGATCATAGTCCACTCCAATGTTATTCCTCCGTTCTTTCTTCATGTTATTCTTACAATCTTGATTATTGGTACACATATTATTATCCCCACTTGAAGCTTCTTTTTCTCGATCCATAATTTTGCATGGAACAACTGAACATTTAGGAGAGGTGGAGACTCCCACTCTCATATTATTTAACATTTTCCGATGTGATCGAAGTTTGTAAGCTTCAACAGGATTAACAAGTTCATGATTGTGCTCATTATGAACTTTGTAAACCACCCATTTCCCAGAACTTCTTTTAATGCTCATAGCTGCTCGACAATCTATCCTTGTTTCTCGTCGAGAACGTACAACCTTTCCTTTATATCGCTTGTCTTTTGTCCAGCGAAACCCCTCATGGGCACAAACATACTTTCGAGAGAGAACACTCTTATCAACCTTTGAGCGTTCTACGCGGCTTTTCCGAATGCTGAATCCCTTTTCCTTAGCATATGCATTATAGTATTCATATGCCTCATCTTCGCAACTGAATTGCAAACCAATATATGGTTCAGAGACAAGATTATTGACAGAGGCATGGTTATCATCCCTTACACCACTTTCAGTTGTATCAATGTCTTCCTTTAAAGATTCTTGAATATCCACGGTAAGCTGAGGATGTTGAATACTTTCATCAAACACCATCACATCAGCATCTGAAATATCTTGACCAAGAGTCAAATTGTTTTCCATTTCATCTCCCTTAGGAGATTCTTGCATATCCAAACTAACTTGAGGAGCTTGAATTACAACATCAGCTTCCAATATATCTTGACCAAGGTCAATATTATATTCCATTTCAATGCCTTCATAAAATAGTCAAATAATAATAACAATTAGTAGATGAATAAGGAACTCAAGAAAAAAGATCACTGATGGAACAGTTGAAAGCTTTTATGCTAAGAAGAGCCATGGCAATTATGCAGCAGCTCTTTTATGCTAAGAAAAACAAGAAGTAAATTATAGAAAGCTTTCATCTTTTCTGCTGGATTTTTTTTCTCAATTATGCAGCAATTTTGGCCCTAGCTACGTAACTTATAATTCAGTAGAAAACCCAATTATAACTTTGACATAGGTTACCCAAAATTCAATCCTTACGAGTTATATGTACAGATAATGTTTATCATTTTCTCATCTTACACAGCTTCCCCCTACTTCCTCTCCCGTTTCTCCAGTCTATTTTGCTTTCTCTTTATCCAGCTAGCATCATTGTCATGTACATGAGAGGATTCCTGTCCAATTGTGGAGACTACAATAGAAACACCTATATGACAAAGAAGTACTCACAGGGTAGCGATTAAAATTGGGATTTTGTTTCTGAGGGGCAAACCTGTGGCCAATAGCAAAGAATATGTCCGTGGAAATTTGTTCAATGCCAAACCATTGTCAAAGTTTGTTTCAGAACAGAATTTCACTAATCTTGCAAGAAAGCCACTGAAGATCAACAATTCATAAATGAGGTGTTTGTTAGCTAGTAGAATATTTCCACTATTTTCCCTTCATTCCCAAAGAAGTAAAGCTTGCCAGCCTGCCAGGACTAAATCATCCTTCGTCCCTTTTCTTGCATTCATGATTGGAGAGGTTGAAGCTCCTATTCTGCATTCAAAACAGAGGGGTAATGAAAGACATATCCTTGATTTGTGCATACCAAAAGAAGGGCCGATAATGGGAACAAGCCCATGCATTTGCATAGAGCCACAGACAGAAAAATGTGGCTGAAAGCCATATAGAAGGCAGAGCTCTTGTCAGAGAACAATGGTTAGAAGGTTGCAATGCTGGGGTGATTAACAAGGTATGAAACATGGAAGGTTGATAACGAAAGCAATTGGACTGAATGGAGATGGCAACGATGATGGAGAATCAGACAGTTTGGACAAAATAATTTCCTTTTCTGGCCTTCTTGTCATTTATTTTTTTCTCTCTTTGGTGTTTGCGTGTTTGCATGTATTGTTCTTTGACCACTGAAGAAGTGGGGATGTGATCATTAGAACTGACAGACAAGATTGAGTAAAAATAATTGAAATGTATTGAATGTAAGGATGTATCTGGTTTGTTGAAGGAAAACGATAAATTGCCATTGCTCTATAAAATAGGGGATGCTTAGATGCTCTTCAAAGATATATCTAGACTTGACTTTCCATAATCTAATAAACACAAAGGCTCAAGAATCAATTTAGTTATTCCATTTATCAGTTACCCAAAGAACTAAGCTTTAGGAGGATGAATCCAAGCAAAAGTAAAAAGGAAAAAAAGTCTACTATGTTCACACTCAAACTGAGATGTATACAAACATAGGTATAGTTAAAACAAGAGGAAAAAGATGATGAAATTTTACAAGGTTTCTTACCCTTTTCTTCTATGTCGGCCATCAATCCAGCTATTGTAATTACCTACGCATTGATGTTTAGTGAATTCCTTTTAGCCCACAGAGTTCATTGACCTGCAAATGGTCAATGGATCTTATCTTTCCCTTCCATAATTTCGTAGCCCATGTGTATCTATTTAAAGGTGATTTATGACACTACTATCATTTTCATCTATTTAAAGGTAACCAATTAACATAAAAGTATATGCATCATCATTCCCAACAACCAATTGCAAGTAAAAGAGGAAAAAAAAAGAGCATTTAAGAAAAATTACACAAGGAAATAACAATACTTAACCATCATTAGTAACAGATAAAAGAAGAACCAGAGTGCCAGAGCCTTGGAAACAAAATTTCCTACAGAAGTTAGACTGGAAAGGTAATTATCAAAAAAAAAGTTAGACTGGAAAGGTTTGTTTTATCTGTCTATCAAATAACTTATAATATCTATTCATGAAATACAAAATATATATAACTGAATAAAAAAAATCATGAGAATAAACGTCTGCAGAGTACTTTTTTTGTAGGAGTCTGCAGAGCACTTCAGTGTCGTAAACTGATATATAGTTAATTAGGAAAAAATGTCTGATAATTGGAAACTGAATAAATCCTTTCTAAAACGTACAAGAAACATCGTGCTCAATTGAGAAGGCCTTAAGAATCTCAAAATCTATCAACGATGATGATTAAACAATGCTCGGAACCAACTGAAGTCATGCAAGAATTAGACGTTTTAGTAAAAAACCACAAATTTCTAATATTTCCCTTGAAACTTGAAAATAAGAATCAATTATAGATTGCAAAAAAAAAAAAAAATGGAACACCTCAACGTGCAAAAATAAGCAATTTTCCCTACACCAAACTTCACTTCCACGAAAATTAGAGTATCTACAAACAAAATTTAGATATAAAAATAAGGGAATGAAAGGACGGAGCTGTTTCTTAGAGTTGCACATACTCAACCTGAAATTCAATCGAGTTGAAGTACAGAAAATTGAGTTTTACTAACCTTTCTAACGATTTGTGCCTCAGGATGTTCGATCGCAGAAAAAAACAGCAGGAGAGGAACGATAGGTGTGGATGGTAAGTTTCCAAAGAAGCTTCTACAAGGTAAAGCAGGAAACGGAAAATAAAAAATCGAAAAATGTTTACTACAATTACTTTGATATTCCAAGGAGGATTCCTTTTCACAAGTCTTGATAGGGGAAATGTTCAGTCAAGGAGTGACACGTATGAAACGAAGGCGTATGATCACTCACGTGTGGTTAACACAAGTTAAAAAGCGAATGAAAAAGGAGCGAAAAAACAACCAGAGAAAGGAGTTCCCAATTTCGTTCCTTTTTTTCTCTCTCCTTCCCAGTTCGCACCCTGCAACTTCTAAAACCCTAACAGCCAGCTGTGGATTTCATCCCCCGAAAAGGCTATTAATTGAAATCTCTATCTTTATCTCCACCTCCCGTTCTTTCTTCAACTCAGACTACATCTTTTTTTCTTGATCTGTGTGACAGAACGTATTATTTAGAGCAAAGCAGAGACGGTTCAGGAAGAGTTTAACGACAAAGCTTGGGTACGATGTCTATGCCTTTTATTTTCTAATTGCATTGTTATTCGTTTTTTTTTTTCCGCCATATTTACTATGTTCGCGTTATCCTTTCCCCCTTAAACCGATTTATCCCATCTTAGCGGTAGCGGATTACTGAAAGCAGTAGAATTATGGATTGGATGATTTTATTCCGATGATTGGTCGATTTGGTTCTTCCTTCCTTTTATATTATCAGTCCGTTTGTTATTTTCCCTTCCTGTTTAGGTAGTGGTGCATGAAGTTTCTTTCATGCTTCAATGTCGAAACAGAATTTTACTTTGGAATTTTCTGCAATTTATACAATCTTAATAAACAACAACCTCCATACTTATCTAACCATGAATACTTTTAGTTGAATACACAGTCAATGACATCCAAAGTTTTGAAAGCTGCTTATTCCGTTTGAAAGATGATTATTTCTCTTGGATGTATATAAAATCTAAACGCTCTTATTCTGTTTGGAAGTTAAGGTATACCAATAACCATGAGGGTAGTGAAACGCCTAGCACCTCACACCTCTAGGTAGTGTAACGCCTCCTGTCACACTTTCGCGTTTTAAAACATTGGTACTGGCACATGGAATGGTGAAGGTGAGAGGTGGGAGGCGGGTCCAATTTATCAGCCAATTCCTCAATCTTGAACGGATCAAAGTATCTTGGAGCGAGCTTATGCCACTGTCGTCTAGCAATGGAATGCTGTCGATATGGTTGGAGACGGAGGAACACCAGGTTTCCCACCTGGAAGGAGACATCCTTGTGTTGACGATCATAGGCTGCCTTCATGAATTGCTGGGCCCGCAAGAGATTAACCTTGAGGTCCTTCAAGATCAGATCTGGATGGGTAAGATATTCATCAACAAATGCAATAGATGTAGACCCCTTATCGTAGGGAAGAATAGCTGGTAGTTCCCTACCATACAGAGCCCGAAAAGGGGTCATGTCAGCAGAAATATGATGAGTGGTATTGTACCACAGTTCGGCCCAAAGAAGCCACTGAAGCCATTGCTTTAGGTGATCACCAGTAAAACATCTGAGGTAGGTTTCAACTTTCAAGGCAATGGTTAACAAATTTTGTTTGCCCATTGGACTGTGGATTGTATCCTGTAGATTTGGCCAGATTAGTACCTTGAAGATGGAAGAGAGATTCCCTAAACTGACTCATAAACACCGGGTCACGATCAGAAGGAATGGAATGAGGAACTCCGTGTAATTTAATTACATCTTTGAGGAAAACCTCTGCCACTAAATTATCAAAAAAAAAAAAAAATCTCTGCCACTAGAGCCACTGAATAGGGATGAGGAAGGGCCGAACAGGGCTGTATTAATCCAGCCAGAGATTGAGCAATATATTTCTATTGCTGGCAGACTCCACAGGTGGCTACAAAGTCTTGTATAGATTTACGCATTCCCGGCCAGTAGTAATGGCTGTAAATCCTCTTCTATGTTCTTAGAATACCCGAATGGCCTCCTGGGGCTAAAGCATAAAACAATCTGATCAGTTCAAGTAAAAGTTTTGAATCTGCTGGAAGGGCCATTCGCCCCTTATACAGTAGCAGGCAATCTACCACTTGGTACCTAGGAAGGATCTTGGGCCCATTTTGTTCTGATATCCTGTAACAGAGGGTGGGCCTGAGCTTCTTGTTTCAGTGCTTCTAGAAATGGGTAAATTGGCTGGGAGACAATCCTGGGCTGGAGTTCTGGGCTTTGGGAGAGGGCATCAACCATCAGATTGGAAAACCCCTTCTTGTACAATCAAAGCCTAGTAATCTGGCTTTTCATTTCTATTTCTCTGGGGTAAGAACTTGTTGTTCTAGTAAGAATTTTAGGCTCTTGTGATCTGTCCTGATAGTGAATCTATGTCCTAAGAGATAGGAACACCATTTATGGACTGCCATTCCCACCGCCATCAATTCCTTGTCATAAACCAACTTAGCCCTGGCCTGTGGTGATAAAGCCTTGCTGAAAAAGGCTAGTGGTTTTCCTTCTTGCATGAGGATTGCTCCCACACTGATACCAGATGCATCACACTCCATGGAAAACTCTTTGGAGAAATATGGTAGGGAGAGAACTGGTGGTGAGGTGACCTGCTGTTTGAGTGTATCGAAGTCCCATTGGGCCTGGGTGGTCCAAGAAAGGCTTCCTTCCTCAACAGCTGAGTCAAGGGTTCTGTAATCACCATGTACCCCTTGATGAATCGTCGATAATAAGCCGATAAGCCTAGGAATCCACTCAGCTCCTTAAATTCCTGGGTGTGGGCCATTCCAGTATACTTGGAATTTTAAATGGATCAGCTGTCACTGTCCCATTTTCAACAAAATGGCCTGAGTATTGCACATGCTTTTGCCTGAAAACACATTTAGACAACTTGACAAACAGTTGATGTTGTTGTAGAATGCTCAAGATGATTTGTAAGTGTTACATATGGCACGATCAATTTGGATGATACCTTAGCCAAACAAGGAACTGTGAGAGAAAGTTTGTTCTTGGCAGTTTTTTAATTCAGATTTCTTGGGTTTAACACCTATTTTAGGGGTTGACAATTGTATTTTAATTTTGTAATAATGAACATAGTTTTCAAGGCGCCAAGGCGAGGCTAATATTATTTTCAATATAATATATTATATATATTTATTTATAATATATGTTATAAATATAATAAACCAAAAAAACTAAAGAACCAAAACCGATTAACCAGTTAACTGGTGGCATCGGTTTGGTTTCGTTTTGAAGATATGAAAAAATCGGTAGGATTGGTTCGGTTTAAAAAAATCCCCCATAGTTTGGTTAACCGAACCATGAACACCCCTAAGAAGAGTTGTTGGGCCTTGCATGTGTGTCCCGATCCAAACTTCTCATCATAGTTATAACAATGCCCACAGTCTCGTCAGAGCTGCATCTCATCCCAAGTTAGCTTCTTAAGGGGCACTGGTGGTTGTAGTTTAGAGCTTGACCCATTAATGATGGGGTTTGCCAAGAATACCTTCAATTTTTGGAAGTGGGGAGAGGCGCATACTAAACCCAGGGTTCCTCCCCACCTGCCAAAGTCAACCTAGCCTTTCTTCATGCAAACAGGCTAGACCGACGACAGCTGCTATCGTAGGAGGGTGTAAGGATTTTACCTCAATACAAATCTCCTCCTTCAGCCCTCCGACGAAATACCTGACCAACATCTTCTCCAGCCATCCACTTACTTGATTTGCCAGTTTCTCAAACTCTACTTGATATTCACGCATGGTGATAGTCTATTTCACCTTCAATAAAGCCTTGTTGAAATCCTCAAAACTAGAAGGACCAAACCTTATACATATTGCCTTGGTGAAATTTGCCCAAGTCATCTTCCAATTCGACCTTTTGTACCATTGATACCACTGAATAGCGCCACTGTTCAAGTAGATGGAGGCGGCTGAGACTCTCTACTTCCCAGGTATAACTCAAAAAACCTCTCTGCCTTGTAAATCCAAGACACATGATCCTCTCCATTGGACGAAAAAAAATCCAATGAACAGGCTTCCATATTCCTCCCTTGTACTTTGGATTGCTGCCTCTACTGGATCCTTCGTATTCATTGTCCTTGCCCCTCTGTTGGGGAATCTAATAGAACTGAACCACTACAGCTGATAAGATCTCCTTGAGGTCACTCGTCATCCGCTGCAAGTCGTTCTTGATTCAATCTACTTGAGTCTCCATGACTGAAGCTCGAGTGTTGGTCATGCTCTGATACCAAAAATGTTAGGTTACTGCCTAGCACAGAGGCAGATTTGAGGGCCTAACCTCCTAACAAGCAAAAATAGAAGGATGATGAAGAAGGAAAGATAATTTTGAAGGTTCGGATGCCCAGAAACATGATGAAAATACCTTGTATAGGCTTACAACCAATTTGGGTAAGCTGTAACTAATTCTCGAGCTGTCCTAGTGGTCCTTATTGTGATGTGGCAGCCCCTTCTGTCGGTCCTTCCTCCTGGAATATATTCTGAGTCTCTGATGAAACATGGATCGGCTGGGTCGGCCACATAGCCCATGGGCCTAACAGATGTCCTTTCCCTTGTGTTGCAACTTGCAATCTACACTGGGTTGTGTTGACCAGGCCCAAACTGAAGATACATGAGAGAGAACCTTAACATAAGTAAAACCCAAAATTAGGGAACAGCCAAAACCAGACATTGGCCAGGTCCTGCCTTCAGCCCAAGGTCAATGTACAGCAAAGTTACTGTAGTTTCAAAAGTAAATATAAACCTCATCTTTGTATATGTTGGAGCAAAGGAAAAAAAGCAAGTATGGTGGTGAATCTTTATAAACTTCAAACTTTTATATCACAGAATTGGTGGTCAATCCTTTTTCCTCCTTGTCTCCAAACCTAACCTGAACTTCCACCTGTCATTTTCGGTTTGGGTTTGAGTAAACCCAATCATCATCTATGGGCCCTCAATTCTTAGGAAACCTCCACTTTATTATATGCTTGGTATGTTCATGAAAAACTAGATTAGATGCTATCTTGATTGCATTCATATTGTCAACAAAGAGAGGAATGGAGGAAGAATGATCAGTGTCTGTTCAGTGCCAAAATAGAGTAGCTTTCTATCTACCAGTCTCAGTTTCCATGTTTGAGAACGTAGGAGGGTAAACATCTAGGATTCATTGGTTACTTGAAAGGTCATATTTCAAAAGGATTTGCAAGCCTTTAAGGCAAGGCAAATTAAATAACTGAATTGCTCCCCAGGAAATTGATCTAGGTAGGAGAGAAACACCATTAGCATAAAAATAGCAGAAGAGTGCTGCTTAACAAGAAGAACAAATCAGTAAACCACATTTTCTTCTCTTGTTCTTTTACCACTAAATTTTGGAGTATTATGTGCCTTTGGGACTAGTTAGATCTCCCAAACAAACCTTTTTTTTTTTTGGAGAAAGGTTAATAAGTATATCAAAAAGGCTAGGCTGTACATTGACCTTCCAGCTATACCCCCACTTTTTCCATATTGTCACTTAGCCTAATGAATTTAAAACCCAAAAGAGTAATTTCATGAAAGAGAGGGGGGTGGGGGATATACAAATCAGACCTTGCAATAACACCAAAGACTCCAACCTTGGGGGAAAAAACCATGGTTAATTAATTTAATTTCAGCCAGCCTAAATCCATTGTTACTCAATTTAAATTGGATACCATTATAATTGTTCAGATCATAAATGGGATGGAAGATTCCCATATGTGTTTTATTTGATTCATATGTATATAAAATATATCTTATCTTCAGGTTGAAATCTTGTTTAAAACTTGATGATGAAACAGGTTGCTAATCTAGATAGGTTGTTGAATGGAAAGGTTGATATCTTGTTTAAAGCTTGATGATAGGCTGCTAATCTAAATAGGTTGTTGAATGGACAGGTTGATGTCTTGTTTAAAACTTGATGATGAAGTGGGTTTCTAATCTAGATAGGTTGTTGAATAGACAGGTTGATATCTTGTGTAAAACTTGATGATGAAACAGACTGCTAATCTAGATAGATTGTTGAATGGACAGATTGCTAATCAGGTTGATTTTCTTTATTTTTCTAGCTTCTCTTTATTCTTTTTATTTTGTCCAGCTAATCAGGTTGCCCAAGTTTCTTTTCTATTTGTTGCTAATCAGGTTACTAAAGTGAACAAGTCTGGGTTCATGACAGGTGCAACCCAGATGCTATGGGTTTTGGATAGAGTTGGGTTCATGGACATGTCTAAGTTCTGGGATGAGGATGCAATAGGTATGAGGTTATCCCAAAATTTTGAAAAGAAAAAAAAATGAGGCATTGGAACAGGTATATGTATAGCGTTTTGGGTTCATGGGAGCACATGGGTTGGGTTTAATATATGTATGGTGTTTTGGGTTCATGGGATCACATTGGCTGGGTTATGGTGTTTTGGGTTCATGGGAGGACATGGGCTGGGCTTAGTTAATATAAAGTATTAATTAATATTAATATATTCATAAAAAAAGTATTAATTAATATTAATATATGTGGAGACAAACTCCTAGACAAATGCACTTTACATTTATTATAACGTTCAACTAACATTTGTCTCAATTCCAGCAACCAAATGTATGCAAAGAATACAGGGCCATTTACATGGTTGGTAATGAAACGAATTGAATGCAAATGGGTCTCAAACTCTCAGTTCCCATTTGCATTCACCTAAACTGCTGAACATTTGATATGCAACATACATATTTGTATTTGCACCCCTTCCAAATGGAGCTATGTGTCAGACCTACATTTTGGTACAAAAGTTGGGGTCTGGCAGATCTGACTCTTGAACAGCACACCTGACACATGAACACAAATCCATGCAACATACTAAAATTTAGTTTTTTTTTGCTGTAAAACCTTGGTTTATGTATGCAAATTTCTATGGGCCACTTTTGTGCCTTTTTCATCTTTGGAAGTTCAGACTTGATGTTTATTTTGGTGAGTCTGTTCTAGGATTTTCCTGGATGTATTTGGGGCTGGAATGTGAAGGTCCTCTCCTTCAATGGGTTGTTGATATGTTTGTGCTCATATTGCAATTGATTTTTCAAATGTCAGGCCAAAAATGGGTTTTGTCAATTTGGTTGTGTGAGTTCTGCCAAGCCTATAAGGATATGACTTAGAAAGGAGCTCTTTTTTGTTTAGTCAACATTGATTCTTTATATTAGCACACCACTTTAAAATGTATTTCTGTCATCTGTGAATTTGTATTAGCAACTTAGCAGAGTCATAACATGTAGGTTTGCACTTATGCATCTTCAATTAGCGTTGATTGCCTGTGCACGTCCCAACTAACATGTGACAATGTTGTCCGTTTTGAAGATACATGAGTTGGAAAGGATTTTTGAGATCATTGAATTCATGAGATTCATTGATCTTTTGGTTGCTAATATTTGCAAAATGAAGTTATTATAAATACGTTTTTTGTAGTGAACATGACTGAATTTGCTACAACCATCACACTTTGCAGAGATTCTTTTACACAGTTCTTGTGATTTTAAATCTATGAATGAACTGTGGATGGTAATCCCTTAGCAACATGCAGTTCTCATTGTTTGATATTGATCCCTGCTACAGTTCAAAGGGTCTTCATTTGGATTATAATGGTCAATGCAACAAAAGGGATCTTCATCTCATGGTAAAGCATATTAATATGAAGTCTTACCATTTTTCCTTGAGGCTATCTGGGGTATATAATTCTTTTAGTATATCATGTCTGTTTCTCTATTTTCAATTGAAAAATAGCATAGGGCACTGTAACTTCACCCTGAATGATGGCGTCTCACTAAGCATCAATCAATTATGTGCTCATCACTTGGAACATACAATCAAAGCATAAAATGTTTGGTTCTGTGAAAATGTTAGTGACTTAAAAATAAGAAATATATTAGAAATTTAGGAAATTATATGTAGATTTATTGTAAAAATTTTATAACATTGTAAATATTAATCTATGCAAGCATTCATTAATATTCTTTAAGGCTGCATTTTCTGACAAAATTATTGAAAGTTGGAAAGTTGTGGGTAAGTCTTTAAGAGATTCCATAAAATGCTTAAGGACTTTCCCACAATTTTTCCAAATTTCAATAATTTTCTCAGAAACCAAATGTAGTCAAATTATAAAAGGACATACTCTTCTGAAACTTAAAATAAATTTAAGGACTTAAAAAAGTTATTATATCATTATACATTATGATGCTATATATAAAATTTCATTGTTGATATTAGTTTATAAGCATTATTTTATTATGTTTTTTGTAATACAAAAAATGGCTATCTTTTCACTCTTGTTTCGCTAGTACATCAGCAAAAGAATTACACTCCTATTAACCCCTTGCAGTTTTATTTCTGTATTTTGTGTCAGCCACTTAAACTTCTTCCTTTCATTAAGATATGACCAAAATCCAGCTTCCTCCTTTTGCAACAACTTACTACCAGCTTTGAGTCACCTTCAACAATCAACTTTCTAATGTTCGACTCCTTTGTCCTTTGAACTCCTTCCAAAACCGCCAAGACCTCATCTCTTAGTGAATCACCTATAGCAATTGGTCCTGAAAAGTAAGCTATTATTTTGCCTTCTTCATCCCCAAATACTCTTCCAATGCCCAGAGAGCCAGGAGTCCCTTCACTGCTACCATCAAAGTTCAACTTAATGAAGCCACTGATATGTGGAGACCAAATAGGGGCTGTAACAGCCTTAATAGGACCTGAAGCAAACACCTCCTTCCAATTATCATTTCTACTGTTACAAAAGTTTAAATCTTAAAATATCAACTATTATTAATTAAATTATGTATAATTAGAAACATTTTATAAAGGAAAGTAATAAGGCAAGAATCATTTGGAATAATAAACTCGAAAAAAATGGGTTTTAAAACACATTATTTACATGATACAAATGTACATGTGAACTTTTTAATAAACAAGCATGCATGCATATAACATTTAAATTCAAACCTTATATCAATATAATTAATGAAGTAAATTTTGTTGAAAACAATAAAAAAAGATATTAAAACATTATGGAATATGCCAAGATATGTTTCAATAATATTTCTTGTTAGTACTCATAAAAATGGAAATATTTCATGAAAATATTAGGAAACATGTAAATTTTTAAACCATGCATACAATCAATTAAGCTCCCCTTTGTTGGTTCAGTGCCCAAAATTTGACCATACAGTTCTAACTAATCTATCCTCAACATTGCTTTTTTCAGTTATAAGAATATCTAGGATGGTCAATCAAAACCGAGTCTCTCAATTGGATGCTTTATAGTTGTCTTGTCAATAGTGAGTATCTAAGACAATCAAATCTAAGTGTCAATGGGATGTTTTCTAGTTGTCCCATATCTTCAGCCCTGCCTATCTGAGAGGTTCTCAAGTAACCGTGCAATCCAATTGTTGTATAGGGCCATAGGGGTATGAACATGTAAAAGGTGATCCTAGTCCTTGGTGTTCTAAGCTCACAGGTCATAAATTTCTTTTTTCTGGTGTGTTGCTGAAGCACTTATCTCTGTATTTTTCCCTACAGTGACATACCCATGGCACAATTCATCATCAATTTGAATGCCACACAACCTGCTTCAAGTAAGTTCATAATACACGTGTTGGACAGCACCCACCTGTTTGTGCAACCCAATGTGACTGAAATGATACGGAGCGCCATTTCAGAATTCAGAGATTTAAATTCGTATGAAAAGCCTGCCTGATCTTTACATTCTTATGATGTGAAGTTGTGAGAATCTGGTCCTGCAATTATATTGGAAATATATTTACGTTGTTGAAGGCTTTAAGCATAGTTGAACCTTATATCTCCTCTATACTTGTCTTTTTATAGATTAAGAAATATAATTATATAAGTGTTAGTGTAACCTTTCCATAACGCATCTACTATTGAACACAAGACATAGATTCTACTTATTTTATGTCTCTGCAAAAAGTGTGAACTCAAGCTTTAGTAGAATTTCTGATCGTTTTGACAGAAAATAAGAGAAAACAAAAGGTTGAGACTTGAGAACATTTTGTGAAATCAAACCAAACACAGCCTTGGACTTGAAAGAGAAAGATTGTAACCCGTAATATATTTGGAAAGCACTATTACAAAGTACAAACCTCAATCACAGAGAACTTTGCTATACTTGTTCTCTGAATCACATTAGTAGTTCAATCTGTCATGTCATGCAAGAGAAAGGTTGTATGTTGCTATTGGATGTTCATGTATGTGCTGTGTATGCCACTACACTGTACCTGCTCTTCTGCAACTACAGTATATATCCCCTTGCAAATCTGGCTTTTGAAGACTACCCGCTTTTCCCGTTATTTGTGTCAATCTAAGACTCTTGACTAGTTCTAGTTTCTAGAACAAAGAGAATGTGGTCGTTAAGTCTTAACACTTTAGTCTTAAGCGGATAGATTGATAAGCATCCAGACAAAGTATTCAAAGAAGTTCGTAGTTGCTGCAGTCATTCTTCTTATCTCTTATATAATAACCTCACAAGCATATTTCACCTTATCGCGGAGCATTCTTGCTTTATTTATTGCTTTCTGTTATTGTGATTACTGAAGGCACTGAAGCTCAAATGTTGTAGTAAGATACTAAGAGACGGTGTAAAGCTCTTGTAATGTCTTGTGGGGTAGACTCCCTGCTGCTGTAGTAGACGAACTAAAATTAGAAAGCTATAAAAGAAGGGGGGAAAAATAGACCCTGTTGGTAGGGTTGGGAACTACACTGAACTTAATCGTGTATTTCCATAAGAAGACCCATTTCACAAACTAAATAGAAGTGTATATCAAGTGCAGTAGCAGATGAGGAACACCAGTGGCATGGTGTTGACCAATCAAATATATGACAAATATGTATTTATATTTAAAAATCAATATAAATTTCATTAATATTTGAAAAATATGGGCTCATCTGTTTTGCTAGTTGAACCCTTTGGAGGAGATTTTAAGTTGGTAATAGACTGATAGGTTGGTTGAAGTTAGAAACAGTCATTTGGGAGGCAAGGTTCAAAAAATCGATGCCATACGCCCTGTATCGGGCGTATCGTGTTGTATCTTTTGGGTCCCGATATGCCTGTTTACAGGTGTTTCCGGACCCCCTCTTTTTTAATAAAAAAATACTCTTTTTTAACTCCAAAATCAAATTTTGAAAAAAAAAAAAAACAAAAACTATTTCTGTGTGTATCTAAGTACCGGTATGCCTCTACCGATACACAGAGGCGTAACGATACTTTGAACCATGCTTATAGGGAGGATACAAAGAGGTTTAAATGGCTTATCCAGTGACATGACTTTAAAAATTCATAGGGAAAGAAGATTGGTAAATGGATTGCCATATGCCTTAGCCAAACAAGGGGCCTCTAGGGATAATTGTTTTGGGGTCGGTTTTAATCTTGAATTGTGTTTGGGAGATGTTGCACCTCGTGCCTCTCATGGATCATTTGTAGCTTTTTTGGGTTTCTCTCTTTAATAAGGCTCATTTTATTTATCAAAAAAATGGCTCATTTTATTTATCAAAAAAATGGAAAATCTATGCTGCATTCAACCCCCCCCCCCTCCCCAATCATGTTTAACAAGCACATGAAAGCCACATAGGAATCTTTTTTCAAAGTTAACTAAGGAATACCAACAGAGGGGGCAAAGTGAACGTTTGGGGCTAAGTGTCACTATCACAAAGGTAATATGTAATTTACCCTTTTCTCTCACAACTTTTTTACGAATTGTTTCAGTTTCCAAGTTCTGAACTCTTTATCTATTTTCCTGTTTCCTTTATCGTAGAGTAATTTGGAAACCTTGCAAACTTCTCGTGTTTTTTCCGGTTGAACCATTTGAACCATTTAAACCATCACCTGGATAAGATTATGGGTCTGGTTTGCATGATATTTGCTATTTGGTCAAAAATCATCCAACCTGAGAGTGGTTGAACTGTTGACCCGTTCAATTTAGTCATTGGGTCACAAGTTGCACATTTAATGTATGCGTAAACTTTTGAAGGCCATAACCTCACCCCGCTATTTTTGCAAAAAAAAAAAACCCTTTTTTGAGCCTCAAATTGTAATTTTTAGCATTTCTATAAATAAAAGTAAAATTGAATTAAAATATATAAAACATAAAATAATATTTATATATACATATATTGCATCTAAGAAATAATATTCAGACACACAGATAATATATATATATATATATATATATATATATCACGATCTAATTCGTTCGACCCTACAATTGAACTGTTCAGGCCTTATTAATGTTGAATTAGATTGTGTGAATCTCATTGATGAGGACCATCCACGGTGGGACTATAGTCCCAATTCATCATAGTTATTTTTTTAATTTATTTCCCTTCTAATTTTATTTTATCTAGATATTATTTTATTTTTAAATTATTTTGAATAAATTTTTAATATTTAAAGGTAATATTATGACAATTTTTTAACATTGAATCATTTCCATTATTTGTGTTAATAAAAAAATATTTAAAGATAATAAGTAATTGTTTTTAAATTATTTGTATTACCTTTTCTATTAATAAAAATGATTTTTATTATTAAATAAATTTATATTCTATAAATTTTATACTCTAATATTTGACATATTCAATGATTACATATTGGTGTTTTATTTTATGCATTATTACAAGTGTGCAACCCATCATTGGCCTAGCCGTTTGTACCATCACTAGACAAGATTCCAAGTCCGATTTGCATGAAACTCACCATTTGGTCAAAAACCATCCAACTCAGATGGTTGAATCATTGACCCATTCAACCCAATCACCGAGTCATACTGTCATAGGTTGTACACTCAATGTATGTGTAAACTTTTGAAGGCTATAACCTTGCCCCATTATTTTCTTCAAAAAAAAAACTTTTTGGGCCTCAATTCATAATTTTAACATTTTCTATAGATAAAAAATTAAAATTTGAATTAAAAATATAAAATTCTATAAATTTTAGACTTTAATATTTGACATATTCAATGATTACATATTGGTGTTTTATTTTAGGGAGAATGACGGTTCAGCCTAGGGTCAGAATTTTTAGGCCCAAAGTATAGTTAGGGTAGGTGTTAGCTCGGAATTGATGCCAATTCATGGACGGACATTGGTGCATAGAGTGGGGGTATTTGACATTTTGAATGTTTATAGGTCTGCAATGGGCCTGTCCGTACTTCTTTGTTTATTTTATCCCTTATTACAAGTGTGCAACCCGTCATTGGCCTGACCAGTTGAATCGCTTGAACCATCGCTTGGTCAAGATTTTGGGTCCAATTTGCATGAAACTTACCATTCGGTCAAAAACTATCCAACTAGGGTGGTTGAACCATTGACCCATTCGACTCAATCACCAAGTCACATGTTACACATTCAATGTATGTGTAAACTTTTTAGAGGCCACAACCTTGCCTTGCTATTTTTGCCAACAAAACACCTTTTTTAGACTCATTATAATTATTAGCATTTTTATAAATAAAAGTAAAATTGAATTAAAAATATAAAACATAAAATAATATACAAATATATATATATATATACATACATACATATGTTGATGCGGCATGATCTAACTTGTTTGACTTAGACGGTCGAAGTCTACAAGCCATATTAATGTTGTGTTCAATTGTGTGAATATCTTGTGGATAGACCAAGATGTACAACTATTCGGTTCACTATGGACGAGGACCATCCACAAATATCGTGGACAAGGATCATCCACTCCCCAACTTGTGGATGAGGGACCATCCACCCATTTCCATTATTTTTTAACATTGAGCCATTTCCATTATTTTTTGTTAATAAAAAATATTTAAAGATAGAAAGTAATTGCTTTTAAATTCTTTTTGTTATCTTTTATATTAATAAACATGATTTTCTATTATTTGATAAATTTATATTCTATAAATTTTATACTCTAATATTTAACATTTATTTGGCATATTTAATAATTACATATTGGTGTTTTATTTTATCCATTCTTATTTTGTATTATTTTTTCAATTTATTTTGGACTTAAAATATAAGAAATTTTCGTTAATTATTGAACAAGTAGATTATCTTATAAATTATATGTGAAACATATGAAATCAACCACACCACACTTATAGAATGCTCCTTTAAGTGTGGGTAGTTTTAATCCACACATTTTATCCGTGGATTAGTCCTTGCTATGGTGGCGTGGTGTGTACCTCACCAATTAGGTTCATAGTTGTCAAGGCGACTAGGTGAGGCTAGGCGACCATGGGGCGCCCAAGTGCCTAGGCGATGGAATCTATAAAATGTGTGCGCCTAGGTGCTTAGAAATCTATAAAATTTATAGATTTCTATACTTCCTAAAGGACCTAAATTATTTTATAAGTTATATTTGCTTACTAGCTAAACATTATAGCAAGCATAATCAATAAAATCTTTCATATAAGTATAACTTTCATGTGAAAACATAAAATTGAACATTTGAATTAAAAGAAATAAGCAATCAAACAAGTGGGCTGATAAAAAAATATGCAATCAAGCAAATAAAGTGAGAGAAAAAGTCTACTAACATTGCAAGTTCCAAGTTGGCAACATTAAAAAAAATAAAAAAAAAACTAATAATTTAAAATTTTAGTTTCACAGGAAATAGAACCATAGTACTGTACCTTTTGGATGATTGAGTGTGATCTTGAGTATTCTTTTTTTCTACAACTTTTCCTTCAATAAGAAAATAAATTAAAAGAATTAATCAATCAATAAGAAATCAACCTTGTCATTAACAAATGGAAGAAGCACTACAACAAAAATAAAAATATTCATAAGAATTCAATAGCAATCCTTTAAGTATTAAAATACATACATTAGTTGATGCTTGGTACTTTAAGAAATAATAAGATAAAAATATGAAAGTCATGAAACTATTAAAAAATAAAAATCATAATAGCATATAATGAATAATTATAAATTATAAAACTATAAATCATCATTCATCTCCAAGTCTACAAAAAATAAATATGAAATTTAAAACTTTAAATGTATCATAGACAATACAATCCTTAAAGAAAATTCTCTATTCTCTAATTAATTGGAGTGTTTAAGAAGTAAGAACCACCAACAACTCCATTGAATGCACTAACATCATTAGCACCATAATCAACATTTTCATCGTCATCATCATCACGATCATCTTCAACATCAATATCTTCTTCTTCATCTTCATTATCTTCCATATCTTTGTCCAACATCGAGTCTTCTTCTTCTTCTTAAGCAACATTTTTGCCTTTATCTTGTCTTCTAGACTCACCTCTCCCACAACCACCTCTACCTCTACTTGGACCCACAGGTCCCCCACTTGCATTTCCACGTCCATGTCCACTTCTCCTTAACCTATTTAACCCTTCAAGGATTTCAGATGCCCCTAATGCTTCATCAACTTGAGGGAGTCCATGTAAAATCATACATTTCATGGACCAAGTTATTTGAGGGGGTTTTCCCAGTCAACCACTCACTGGTTTCATCTACATCATCAAAGCAAATATGGTCAAACTGCTTTGGATTTGCACACCTTTTTATTTTCTTGGAGGCGTTGATTATATTGAACAAATACAAGATCATTAAGCCTTTTTTGATCAAGCCTATTCCTTTTTTTTTGTATGAATCTACATTCACAACAAAATAAGAAAAATTATAAAAATAAGTATCTTAGCTTTCATAAATAATTTTATCACAAAACCAACCATTAGGTCTATTACTTAGAAGTTAGAACTTACATGCTCAAAAGTGCTCCAATTGCGCTTACAAGCTAAAAAAGTGCATGTAAGACCTAATATGCATAATGCAATGTGCCTAAGGTTTGGGGTGCAATGTCCATAGCTATGCCATAAATTAGCTACAAAATAGGAAAAAAATGAATTAAAACAATATAAATTTAAAATAATAGAAATAAAATATAAATATAAGTTTCAAGAAAAGAGATCTTATATTACTTGGTTGCTTCGTTTCACATTGCCTAATTGTCAATTCTTTAGAAAAAGCACCACGAGCGTACTTATACTCTTCCAACTTATGAGAGATCTTGTCTTGAATTTCAAAATCACTAACCATTCTCTCAATGCAATCTAGAAAGCTCATTTTAAACTTTCCAACGAATGCTTCATCCTGTGCTTTAGCCTTATAATAAAGGGTTGGATTGAGAAAAAAAAACAACAAGGTGCAATGGATGTTGCATCATAATAGTCCAACGCCTATAAAAAATGTCTAAAATGGGCTTATACTCCATTTCTTTCCTACTAAAATTTTCTTTTATTTTCTCTCTTACTCGCTCCATTGCATAGTAAAAATAACTCATTACAGGTTTTTCATCACCATCAACCAATCGTAAAACCTCCACAATCGGTTGAGCAGCCAAAAGAGCAACTCTTACATTTTTCCAAAACCCAATAGAAAGCATAGTGCTTGATGCTCTTAGTCCATCTGATTTGTTAGTCCATTTACTCTTGTTTCGCACATCACCAACAAATAAAGCATGCAAGGGCTCCTTAGAAGTATACAAACTTTGTAAAGTTAGAAAAGAGGTAGCAAGCCTTGTAACTGCACATTGTACAAGATCTCTTCCATTTGTTTTTTCCCTCATACATGCAAGAAGAGGATGCCTATAAATAAAAGCAGTCACTTGTCTTGCCTTGGCAATACAACTTTTTGTAGACCTCAATTTTCCAATGTCCTCCAACATAAGGTTTAAACAATGAGCAGCACAAGGAGTCCAAAATAAATTCTTCTTCTTCAATCTTAAAAGATCACCGACAGCAACATAAGCAGAGTGATTATCAGTAACCACTTGCATTTGACTTCATTTGATGCATCAACTAATTTTAGAAAAAAAGTTTCTTCAAGAGAATTCACCAAAAAAATAATCAAAGATCTTTGCCTTTTATTAGTCCATCCGTCGGACATGATGGTATAACTATAAGTCTTCCAAAAAGCCTCATACTCCTTGTACATTAGCTTTGTTTTCTCAACCTCCCATTTCAAGAGTGGCTCTCGTAACTCATGGTAACTTGGAGGCTTGTATCTGGACCCGAATTGTGCAATTGCTTCAATCATAACTTTAAAACTTTTCAACTTCAATGTATTGAAAGCAATCCCAGCTTGATAATGAAAGAGAAAGATCCATCGTATGGACGCCAAGAATGCAGCGGAATAGGGTGGGCGAATTTCATAAATTTCTCTCATCCCTTTCAACTGGGAATCATATTCCCTGATTTTAGAATACAATATTCAAGGATCTAATCGAACCAAAACCGAACCAGATCTGAACCAAAGAGAAAAGAAAACGGTTATACCTGATACGGAGAGTCGGTATCTCCCAACGTCGGTGTTTATGCCCAAAGAATACTCCCAAGATCTGCTTCCATTGAAGATGACGTAGTGATACTGGAACAGAACCAGCAGTGTTCGTCCTATGAACCAAATTCTTCACAAGAATTCGATGGAAGCGAAGAGCACCGTACACAATCAACCTTTCAGCAAAGACTGATATCAAGAACACCTTCTTGATCTTTCCCTCTCAGAGAGATCGGACCAGGCAGTGAATGGCGGAGGCGGCTGGAGGAGAACTCTAGAGATGAAGTTAGCGTATTTGCTTTTCTTCTCTCTAGGGTTTCTGAGATCCTATCTCAAATTGCAGGAGGAGGCTACTATTAAACCCTTGGTTCGAATTCTTGTAATTCAAGATTAGGGTTTCTCCTCTTTCGTAGTGATTAAGAAACCTCCTAATCCTATTAGGAGTTATCCCAATCCAAATCTGTATTTGGATAGGGAATTATCTTAATCCTATCTGYARATTAGGTYAGYCCACTCCTGATCTTATCAGGAGGTTACCATATTCAAATATTTATTTGAATTTGGTCTC